GGTACGCGGGCCTCTCACTGTTGTGGCCTCTCCCGTTGCGGAGCACAGGCTCCGGACGCGCAGGCTCAGCGGCCAAGGCTCACGGGCCCAGCCGCTCCGCGACATGTGGGATCCTCCCGGACCGGGGCACGAACTCCTGTCCCCTGCATCGGCAGGCGGACTCTCAACCACTGAGCCACCAGGGAAGCCTGCCCTTGGTTTTAAAAGGAGCGGTGCCTCTAAGCATTCTGGGACTCGTAGTTCGCAGAGGTATCAAGGCTGTCCACTGGAGGGAGCCCCCCGCCCTTGGAGCCTCAGAGAACGTTAGCGCCAGAAGGTTAGTGTCAGCCGGGCTGTGAGAGCAGCCGCTGTGTCGGATGATTTGCGGTCCTGAGTGGGCGACTCACTCTCAGCCTGCAGGTCAACCGCCGGGGACAGGCCCCACCAAGACACAGAACCGAAGCCAGTGCCCGAGCCCGCTGGTGTGGTCATCGCCCTGCGGGACAAACAACCCTGGAATCCCCAAATATCGTGTCTGCCTTGCCCACCCATTCCCCTCTCACCTCCGCTGACTTCTCGCCCCTTTCACATCCCCCTCACCTTTATCCTTCCAAATAACCCGAGACGTCCCCTCCCTCCCCTCTCGGTGCGGCGCTGGGATCCGAAGGCCCCTACACAACTGCTGCCCATAGTCCCCGCCCCTTTCAATCAGTCGGCCAATAGGAGCGTGCGAGCTGGCACCACCGCAATCAACTGACCAATGAGAGCGAGGGAGACCTGCCCGTTGCAAACTTTTAGCCAATGGGAGCGCTAAGGGTTTGTGGGAGCGGTGGGCGAGAGGACGCGGTTGTCATGACGACGGCGCTGGAGGGGAAGGGGCGGGGCCGCAAGAGGCTTGAGGGGAGCTGGGGGCGATCCAAATTTCTGGAAGCTGGAGGAGGCCTGGGCCGATTCAAATTTAGACAGAACGGAGCAGAATCTTGATCAACCCAAATTAAACTGAGGTGGCTTAGGCCATAAACTATAGACCTCTGTGGCCCCATTTCCCCTCACACCCTGGCTCTATCACACAGGGCTTCTCTCCAGGTGAGAAAAACACAGCGAAGTACTGAGGCCGGCTAGCACTGGCTCCGGTTGTTAAATTTTCGGGAATTTTGTGACCTGGTTTTACACACAATCATTACTAAAAATTAAACTTTTTACTAAATTAATTACTAAAAATTAAATTCCAATAAAATACATTAAAATAAAAGTAATCATACTCAAAACTCATCACTTCCTACGATATTTTACAATTATTGATGGTCTTAAGGTTATTTACAGCTGTTGTACCTGTAAGAAGGAAATGCTATTTTAATGCAATAGTTTAAAAAATGAAGTTGGCAAACTAGGACCATGGGCTGTTTATTTTTGTAAATAAAGTTTTATTAGAACAAGGGCCAGGATTAGGCTAAGGCAGAGTGGTCCAAGTGAAGGGTCAGATCCTGTCTTTAAATTTGTTATATCTTATTTATTTTTCCATCTTGTATTTCTTTTTTGCATTAGTTTTGAATTTTAAAAAATATTGCATTAAAATACTATCTATCTTGATTACTGGGTGTGTTGGTTTTGGTGACTTTGTTTTTGTTTTGGTTTTGCCTTAAATTGTGGGACCCTTGTTCTACTCTGGGAAATACTATAGGATGGTGTGGTAGTAGGCATCTCTTCTCAACTCTACATTCAGACTTCACACTGGTGGCTTGAAATCAGCCACAGTGACAGTATTTACGCCACGGAAGGGGGCAAGCTACACAACAGGGCTTCAGAGAGATGGTAACAGCACACCTCAGGAACCACACCAAGTCCTCTGTTGTCTCCAGGTCTATATGGCTTGTGTTTTTGTTTATTTATTAATTAATTTATTTATTTACTTGGCTGAGCCAGGTCTTAGTTGTGGCACACAGGATCTTTTTCTTTTTTTTTTTAGTTGCAGCACATGGCATCTTTTAGTTGCAGCATGTGAGATCTAGTTCCCTGACCAGGGATCGAACCTGGGCACCCTGCATTGGGAGTGCGGAGTCTTAGCTACTGAACCACCAGGGAAGTCCCTTTCTGGCTTGTGTTGCTCCTTCTAACATCCTCCCCTTCTACCCCTGGAAAACTCCAAATGATCCTTCCAACCTTAGCCAGGGATCTTCCTGAGTTCTGCTCCTGCTTTTTCAGCAGATGGCCACTGTAGTCTACCCTGTGACTCCCAGTATTTTATATCTGGGGTTGAGGACGCTTGAGAATGTGGCTTTTGGTGCCAGACGTGGCTGGGTTTACACCTTGTCCTGTCACTTGCTGGCTGAGAGAACTCGGCCAGGTGACTTAACCTGTCTGTGAGTTCCACAAGGGCAGGGACTCCAGTGAGACACATCTCCAGATCATCCCCAGCACCCAGCCCAGGGCACAGCACCCAGGGAGCCTTGGTTCTCTGTCCCCTCTCCTCACCCTGCTACATGAACTTAGCCAAGTCGGTCACCCTCTCTGCCTCAGTTTCGTGTTCTGTAAAATGGGAAAGGTAACATGCAGCTAGCAGGAGTGTGGTGGGTTGAAAGGAGGTCCACCTGCCTGCTGAGGACAGTTCTGGTTAGTGGGAAGGAAATGAAGGCTGAGTTTTCAGCAACCCTCCAGGAGTGGGCCGGCCAACCTGGGCCCCTCCTGAGTCAGCCTTCAGCCCACTAGAGCCCCAGATCCTGACTTTCTCCCGTGAGGCTTAATGTCTTTTATCTTCATCACCACCACTCTCCACAACGCCTCCTCCACGGAGGAGCCAGAGTAATCTGAAATGTGAACCAAGCCATGCCACTTCCCTCTAAAACCCCACTGAGGCTTCTCACTGCAGGTAGATACAATCCCAGTTCCTTAGCTTCACCTCCTAGTTCCTGTGTGATCTGGCTCTTGGCTGTGTCTCTTACGTCTTGTCCCCACCCCCACCCCCATACATCCACCCTGATGCTCCTCTCCAGCCACACTGGCCTCCTGGCTCTTTTGAGAATACATCAAGCCTGTTCTTGCCCCCAGGGCCTTTGCAAGGAACTTGGGGTTCCTTCTGTATGGAATTTTCTTCCCCCTCATCTTTGTGTGTGTGTGTGTTACAATACACACAATACGAAGCTTACAATTAATGATGTTTAGTACATTCGCAGTATTGTGCAACCATCACCACTATCTAGTTCCAGAAATTGCTCATCATGCCATAAGGAGACCCCATACTCATTAATCAGTCACTCCTCACTTATCCGTCTCCCTAGTCCCTGAAAACCACCAGTCTACTTTTTCTTTCTCTGTGGATTTGCCTATTCTAGATACTACATATAGTTGGAATCATACAATATGTGGCCTTTTATGTCTGGTTAAAGTCGTGTCTTCGAGGTTCGTCTATGCTGCTATGCATGAATCCGTGCTTCATTCCTTTTTGTGACTGGATCATATTCCACTGTATTTCCCCTTCACCTTTGGAAGCCTCATGCCTTCTTGTCATTCATATCACAGCCTAGACACTAGCTCTTCAGAGAAGCTGATGTCCCTGACAAGCCTTTTTAAATGATCTGAGCCCTTACTGGTTTCCTTCCCAGTTTGGTCGCCACCTGTAATGGTTTTATACTTCTCACTTGTCTGCTCACTTGCGGAGACAGAGACCCAGGGATCCCAATGTCATCACCTAACTCAGAACAGATTCAACCCCAGGATTTAGAGAAGGACTTCCTGGATGTATGATCCCGAGCAGGTCATGTTAATTCCCTGAAGCACAGTTTCCTCATTTGTCAGCTGGGAATAATAATCGTGTCTATTTCCTGAGGTTGCTGTGAGGATTATCATCAAAAGCAGTAGCAGTGGGCTTCCCTGGTGGCGCAGTGCTTGAGAGTCCGCCTGCCGATGCAGGAGACGCGGG